ATTTGACTAATACACATAACAACAATTGTTGTATTTTAAAATATGATAAGTGATTTGATATTAATCAGCTTAACTAAATTTCAATTAATTGTTGTGAAATATTGTTGGAAAAAACAAACAGACAAGCAAACAAACAAACGTAAAACAGAATGTTTTTAAGCTATAAGAAGTGAAGAAGCAAAAAAACAAGCAAAAACCATCGTTATTATCACAAACAACTGCTTCAAAGACGAAACAAGTGCTTATGCGTCATCTTATACGTCAATTTGAGTTTAATGAGGTATTCCGCTTGCTAATTTAATATGGCTCTTATATAAAGTATGATAACTAAGTTTACGAAAATGTGATGAATTTGACAAAATAGTCGTAATTTTTTTGATAACTCATATGATATGATAATTATACGTGAAATACTTTCTTATTTAAACGTATGCTGTTATTGATATGAATATTATACTTTAATCATTGTCAAACTTATAAATATTATGTTAAATTGAGAAAAAAATATTGAATAAAGTGTATTACAAAATAATTAATATACTTATTATTATTAATATTACTAGCAGTACTATTATTAGCAAACTGCCATTATGTAAAAAATTTAATTAATTGTATAATTTCACTATACACTTTACTTCTTTTTTTTTTTTTAAATCATTCATAAATGAAAGTGTTTGATAAACAAAATTAATTTGCATTTGACAGATTTATTTCATCGTTCCGTTTCATTCATTTATTATTATCTTTTTTTTGTGATATTATTTTTAACAATCATTTTTGTGATATATATATTATTTTTTTTTAAACAAGCTTAGGCAGTAATTATAACTAGTAAGTGTAAAATTTAACGCAAAATAAATAAATACAAAAACACAGCATAAATTAAATATGAAATAAATGTTAGTTGCAAATTTGACAGCGTTAGAATAGTTTAAGAATTATTCTAAAATAATAATAGTTAAAAAAAAGTTATTTTATCATTTCACATTTTTTTTTCTTTTTATTCATCATAGCGGATGACCGATTACGTCAAAAGTTGTCATTCAATTCATTCAAAATGTTAATATTTCATTTGATTATTTTTTATTAGTTGGTAAAGCTAAGGAATTTTTACTTAATAATATTATAATTATTTTATTCCTTAATGTTCATTAATTCTGCTTATTTATTTTAACTGCTTGATCAAATGTTTTAATCTATAATGAAACACAAATAATTACAATACAAATTATAAATTTTATATTACACTAATATATTTATGATAATTTTCAATAGTATATTATTTATAGTAAATAATCGGTAATGTTTTTTTCACAAGAAATGATGAGTGTAAGAAATTATTTCAATCAATAAAGGTCACCGGAAATGTCAACATTAATACAAGACGTCATTGTCACTTCAGTAGATCTAAATATAAAAATTTCATGGGTTGATGCATTATAATTGGAATTCTCATGAATTGTACAGCAGGTTTTAACCTGGAGTGAAGGGGACCAGAAAAAGTTAGAAAAAAAAATTGGAAAATGAAAAAAGAAGGAAAAGATAGGATGAAAGAGAGGGGGAGAAAGAAAGGATGAAATATTAGCATGAAATAGTTGATAACAAATGGATGAAAATGTTTGCAAAGGAAATGCAAAGTAGAAGGAATTAATTCGTGCAATGAGCATTTTATGTTAAGTTGAAAAAAAAGAAGTGAAGAGGGCTAGACTGTAAAAGGAATCGACAGAACGATTTAACCTCTGTTTTGTCTCCTCTTTCCTCAAAAATCGAAAAATGTCAATTTATTCGTTTAAATTTCAAACAAAAAAAAGGAAAAAAAATCAAAGGATCAGAAAAAGAAGGATCATAAATTATTTAGTGATAATGTTTCGTGGAAATATTAAAAAAGATGTGATGAAATATTATTATAAATAATACTACCGTCATTTAATAATAGTAATTGCTAAACTGATATATTTGTTTTCTTTTTCCTTTTCTTTCGTATTTTAAATAGGAAACAATATTTAGTAGTAAACGTGTACGTATTTTACGTATATTTATATATTAAGTATATTTGAATTTGCATGTTAAACACTTAATTCTCATCATTCGTCATAAGTTTCTATGACTTTTATATTACAGTTTTCGCATTACGAAAAAGCAAAAATAAAACTCAAAATTAAATATGACTAACATTAAGGCGAAAGAATAAAAGTTAAGGCTTTGACAGGAAATTTGATAAATGAGGAAATAAATACGTTACGACAATAATAACACCTATCAAACCAAGTATTCCTTATCTTAACTAATGGTGATAAAATATATATATATATATATATTTTAACAATAATAACGATAATAAAATAATAATAATTCATTCACAGAAGAATCAAATTAATAATTCTTTGATTATCATATTTTGATCTGGTGTATGACACGTCATAAATGTGTTACATTTATGGGAAGAATTTCGTGAAAATTACAACCATTAAAAACTGTTTTAAATTACCTTTAGTGTGCCTACAATAGTTTTAGGCTTTTTTTTTCTATTCTGTCTTTTTTGTATGCAAGTAAATTAATCGATTTTGCAATCAAAAATAGGAAAAAAGTATTTTATTGAAAATATCGCCAACAAATTAAAAAGGAAGAAAGGAGAATTTTTTGACTGAATAATTTAGAATGGAAAATATGTGAAATCTACTAATTGAAATCAATTCTCTCTCTTTCCATTGTGACAAAAAAGAAATGATTGTGCTACATTGCTCTTTTTCATCGTTACACATATGTATCACAAATGATGCCTGGACCGTTCCGGAGGGCAAGGACGGCGGATAGCGCAGCGGGATGAATAGGAGGACGGAAGAGCAAGATGAACGGATAAAACTGTGAAAATGACGCAGCAGAATGGAAGAAGTCAGAGACATGCATCGATCAATTCATTCTTGCTAAATTATAATTTCCATTTGTTTTTGATATTTTTGGACATTAACATGAAACGGAACAAATGTAACATTTCCATTTCATTTAATGCATAAAAAAGGCAAAAGCCACAAACCTTAATGGCATAAGAACCACATACATACATCCATATACATACACACATGCACACATATATGCACGGACGAACAGACAGACAGACACACAGACATGCACACACACGAGTGCATACGAAAGGCATGTTATACGTAAAAGTTTAATGATTCATTATACTCAAAAGTTTACTTAAATCTTTATTTAGCCTGTGTTTCAGTTTTATTCGTAAAAGTTCCAAAAGCTTGTTGTCATGAAGTAATATTTTGATATGAAAATTTATTCATTTATAATGAAAATAATGAGAATTGATTAATAAATTTTTGCTGAATGAAGCAAAAAAAAAATTGGAGTTAACAAAAAAATTTGAATTTATTTTTCAGAAATTTATAATATTTAACGTTTTCATTTTATCGTTTTTTAACATATTATTATTATTATTATTATTATTATTATTGTTATTGTTATTATTATTATTATTATTATTATTATTATTATTATAAAATTTAATAATTAATTATTAATTTCTCAAATAATACATTAAAGTAATAAATATAAATTTGTTAGAAAAATCAACACGAATAGGAAATACTTGAATGAATATTTTTCATTAACTTCGTTATATTTAATGTCAGATAGAACTCAAATTAAGACATGAACAGAGAGATACATAATGCTTCGTCGCTAGGCAACATTTTCATTTATTTTATGTCTATTTAGTAACATATCGAATGATTTACTATAGAAAAATTATTGAGAAATGAAAAAAAGTAGGAATAAAAGATTATATCATTCTGATTAGTATGGAAAAAATCACATATCATTTGATATTAATCAATTATTGATCGATTTTGTGGAATAAAATCGATTTTGTGGAATAAAATGATAAAAATAAAGATTGAATGCATTCTACAATACAACTTATTAATGTATATAAAGCATAACGATAATTATTACGAAATGAAAGGAAAAAGAATAAAATATGTTAGTTTATTTAAATTATATGTAACAATTTTCATGTCGAAAATTTCAGTAACAGGTAAATTTAACTTATCAATTATCAGTTAGCGTAAACTATGAATAAATGATAGTGATCATTCACAGTTATAAAGAATCTCTTTAAGCTTTTCACTTTTTCACATTGATAATTTTTACATAATAGTTTTGAAGATGAGATTTTTCATTTCTTAATTATTTTGATATCGTTCAAAAATTTTTAATTTAAACTATTTTATTAGCTTTAACATACAAATACATACATATGCATAGACATACATATGGATATATACTTAGATGAATAAATAAGAAAAGAGGAAAAAAAAGTAAAGGGAATGGGTGAATGGAAAGGCATTGTGCCAAATTGCATTGACAACAATGGCGTTGCAAGTAAACTGGCCAAGATTATAAGGCTCTTTTCAGGCCTCATTCCTCTTCTTGTCTAACATTCATATCCGATAAATTGCATGAAGCACCGAGAATAAATTTCAAATATTACGGAAACGAGAAAAAGAGGGAAGCATTTTAGTTTACAATTGTTGCCTCAATAGAAGTAATAGCAGTTATTATTTTTGTCATTATTGTTATTGTTATTATTATTATTGTTATAAATTTTATTATTATTATTATTATTATTATTATTATTATTATTATTATTATTATTATTATTATTATTATTATTATTATTATTGTTATTATTATTATTATTATTATTATTATTATTATTATTATTATTGCTGATATATGTAGTAATGCAAACATTCGAACTATAAATCGTGCCACTTCTCAGCATCAAAACAAATTTTAATCAGCGAAATAATTATGCTTATGATGAAATATATAAGCATTACATATTGCGGATAATATTTATTACTATATTTAAAAAAACATCTAAAAGAAACAGGAAAAGGAACTGGAAAAATACAATTTTTATGTAATTAATAAATATTAAAAAAAAAGATGAAAAAAGGAATCATAGTATACACTTTTCATTTTCATACCACAATTCCTTTAATCTTCTTCTTTCTCCTTTTCTAAAATTCATACTTGATTAGAATTGAATGGATGTTATTAGATTTTATTAATTAATTCAATTAACAAAAATTTTCTGCTGCTTAGAGTTCAAAAAAATAAATAAATAAATAAAATAAAAAGCAAAAATATTATACATAAATTATAAAAATAAAAAACTCAATGTGAATTTATGGTACTTGCAGTTTGTCCTCGAGATAATTTCCTTGAATCACTTGAATCAATAAAATCTAATTCATTACTTTCGTCCATTTTAATACCAAGCTTCTCACGTAGTAATTCATGAAGACGACAAAAATCAGCTTCGTCATGCTCATCTTCAAAATCACAGTAACGTGCGTGTTGTGGCCAACCACGTGTGTATGTCTTAAGTTCACGTGCACAATTTCTCCATTCACCAATGTTTTTATCATATGTTTCTCTCCTATAACAGAAAAAAAAAATTGAACAAACATAAAATTTTATTTTTTTAACTCAAAAAATTTGTTCATATTGAAAATGTAAAATAATAGATATTACTGCAAATAAGTAATGAAAAAGGTACTTCTCTTCGTGATTAAATTATGTATTTTTTGTTTATTAAAGATGCAATTTCCTATAGTTGTCACATGGAATATTTTAATTTAAAATTTTCTTTCCAACTATTTCTTCCTTTCTTCTTTCTTCTTTTCTTTAATTCATCTATTCTATTGGATTAATTTTACAATTTATTGAGGGTAACTAAGAAATGTTCAAAAAAAAAAATCTTTTTTTTTTTCAGATATCATTATATAAGGCAATATAGATTTCAAATAACTGAAAATTAGAACGAATGATTTAATGAAAATAAATCTGAAATATAAATGAATGAAATTTTGTTGCAAAGTCAAACCAGCCAAAGAAACTTTTAATAGCACATATAGGACATTTTACCAAAAAATCTTTTGGACGAAGTATTTTATAATGATATTTTGTAATATTTATTGATGGTGCCTAAAATTTTCTAACAAAATTATTATTTGATCTGATGACATTAGTATGTTATTAATTGTTTTTGTTATGTTCATATATATTATGGTAAAATGGCAAATGTTAAATATCTAACTTATAAATGAGTAATTATCGACTTTAATTTACATTTCATCCTCCCTTCTCATTAATTAGTTCTCTCTAGCTTAGCTTCCTAATTATGACTATTACCTTAAATATTATGCAATATTAAAGTTTTATTATTTTCATATATTTCATTCCTGAGTTAATTTGACCATTTTTATATTTGATATATTGTTTCAAACTTTGTCAATTTTTATATTTATATAATAATAATAATTTCAATAATTTTAATTTAACAATCATTTTTAAATTTCATAAATTTTAAATCCTGCGACAGCCTTAACTCAGTCAGTATTGCTGCAATTCGCATGTGAAAATTCTACAATACTGTTAAAAACACTTAAAAATACAATAAAGTAATAAAGTTTATCAAATATTTAAACATTACTATTTGTTTTTACTGCCAATATTAAATCAGTTATTTTAATCTTTCAAAAAAGGTAAGAAGGAGAGAAAAAAAAAACTGACCACAATTGCAGTTGATTGTGTAATATAATTTTTAAGTCTTATTTTATTTAGGCCTGCACATTGAGGGAAATTTTCTAGCATTGTATGGTTAAATTTCAATGCATTATCAGTTGATAAACATGGTAACTAAAAAATTTTCATATTTTTTATATTACTAAAAATTAATAAAGTTTTATGAAATATTTATTAACAAAATCAGTGAAGACTAATGAAGTATTTTATTGGAACTTATGAAAAAAAATCGTACAACTAATTTTTTTTTAATGAAATATTTTTATTTTTTCTTTTCTGATAATTTTTTAATCATTCTTATTAGCTATTATGAGCCATTTTGATTGGCTGAACAAACATATATATTAGCCAAAGTAAGCAAATTATTTTATATTATCAATTGTAATAATAAACAAAATGAAAAAGATTCGCTAAAAAAATGTTTTAATAATTTGTGTACTTATTTGAAAAATGCATTTAGACTGGGTGAGGCATTTTTTTTTTGGCTAAGTTAGATTGAAATTTGAATGACTCATTTATTGAAACTATAGATTGTTTTTATTACTTTTAATTAATAACAAGAAAGATAGAAGAAATTCTATAAACACTAATCTTTTAATATCAAAATAAATTTTAACAGAGATATTTTTTCCATTTTTTCAATATTTATCATCAACGAATTTCGATGAGTATTTTTTTTCTCCTTTTTTATTTGCTTGTTTTCTTGTTGATTAATCATTAAACAATTTAATCATCGTTTAATCATTTTCTTGCCTATTCTTGTTTGAAAATGAAAACAAATGAACAAACATACCAAGTCAACACGATTGACACATTGAGAATTTGCAGAAGTACTTTCATAAAATCGTGAAATAAAAGCATATAAATCATCATCTTCACCACAGCTACTCTAAATTCATGTAATTGTTTAAAAAATTTTTAATTGAAATTATTTTATTTCATACTCCCATAATTTTACATTTGTTGCATAAATGAAATTTAAATTTGAAAATTAAATCATAAAATGAGAACTTAAAAAAGTAACAAATATAGAATACATAGAAAATAAATATAAGAAGCTTTAAATTAAGTATGAAAAACATGAACAAAAAAAAAGACAGTGCAAAAACACGAAACGTAATAATATAAATAATATTCCCTTTATTATATAAATAAGCATATTGATTGAAATATCTGTATAACGTTTAGACGTAAATTTTAGCGTCAATTTACGTAAAGAATATCATAGTAATACAAAATACGAACAGTTGAAAATTCTGGCGTTTTTTTATAGGTGCATTCAATAAATGGCAACACATTTTTCTTTTCATTTAAAATTTGGTTTTCTCGCAAAAGACGGCTAAATTCATCCTGAAATTATAACATAGCGAATTAAAATTATTATGTATTGAAATAGCTTTGGAATAAACTAACTAATATTTGCTATCATTTTATAATTTTTGAACGAAATCAAATGATATTGGTCCAGCATTAGTTAACTAAATAATTGATTAATTGGTCTAACTTTTTCTCAATCAGTTGATGAAACATTTACAAGATGTAGAATAAAAGTTATATTTTTCACTTTTGACTAATGTAAATTAGTTTCACTTTTGTAATGAACTTATTCATATTTTAATAAAGAGCAAATATCTTAAAAAAAAAAAAAAAACAAGTGTTTATAAGTTTAAACTAGACTGCAAATTTTCAGATTTCTCAAGAAAAAAAATGCCAGAACAAAATTTGACACTCACACTTACTTTGCGAAAATTTAAAAAAAAAGCTTAAATTAATCAATCAAATGAATTGCTTACAATTTTAAAGCTAACTGATTTGCAAAATAATGCTATTAAAATTATCAATAGTAATGCAAAAACACATTGAAATCCGAAACAGTAAAAGCACGGATTTACACGGAACATAAAACGCATCGCTAGGTGCGTTCGGGATCGCTTAATCTGGAAATCAATAATGCAAAGTACAGAATTAATTATAAAAGTGATGTTGAAGAGAAATCTGATGTTACATATAATGAATAAAAATTATTATTATTATTATTATTATTATTATTATTATTATTATTATTATTATTTAACTATTTATATCACTTAGATGAAATGATTAACAAATATAACATTTAACAACGCATTAGAGTGATAATGGTAAGTGATACGAATTGTAAACTCATTTTATATTATTTATGATAAAACAAATATTGCTTTAATTTCTTTGCTAAATTTTGAAATAAATAAAATATGCGCTAATAGCAGTAATTATTACTACATCAGTAATTTCAAATTTTTAACAAACATTAAGTCTGCACTTTTAACATGCTTGATTTACTTAAGTTAGTAAGAAATGACAGTATCACCTGTTATTTTTAGTAATACTTGTGTATTAATAATTTATAACAGTAACAATATAAATAATAAGTAATAATAATAATAATAATAATAATAATAATAATAATAATAATAATAAAATGAACAAGTAAATAAATCAAACAATTAATTTATTAAATGAATAAATAAATGACAATAATAAGTGGAAAATACAACTAGTGAAGTACCAAATTGGGAAATAAGTTCAAAATAGTAATCATTTTTTCAATTAAATATTAAAATAAACAAAAAAAAAAAAAATACAGATCGAGCGGCTCTATCAACCATTTTGTCGACCAATTACAACTTATTATATTTTTGCAGTGAACATTTTCTTCATTAATTGTTTCATTTTGTAACAATTTCCATTTTATCAATTAAATATTAATTTTATTCAAATTGAATTTTTTTCAATACTTCATTCTTTAAGATTGTTAATGCATCTCAAAATTTGTTATTCGCGAGACGATGAGTAGTGTTTTATGATAGCCCAATTTATATCCATTTTTTTCTACATTTTCGGCACATTATTTCCACTGATTTAGATCAGTTCCATTTAATATTTTTTTTAATATTTCCATTTAATAGTTTTTAATGTTAAAGATTAACAATTGTACTTCATTCAATGCCAAAATTATTGATAGGAAATTCTGAAGAAAAATTTGAACAGTAATTGCTACCACAAATTTGATATTCATAACTTAATGATGTTAGATAAATTTAAATCTTGGATTTTAAAAAAGCAAAAGTTAGAATTTAAAAAAATCAAAAGGTATAAAATTTAATGTTAAATGGTATGCTTTTGAAATAAAAAGATAATAACACAATAATTCATAAAATAACTGAAATATTATTATATATGAATATTAGATGCAAATAGAGATAATATTTTGTTTTCAGTTAGTAAAATTGTTAATTATGAAATGCCACGAATAATTGCTAGAATGTTACAGTAAGAATTTGTGAATTTTCAAGGGAAAAATCCATATGCAATAAAAAATATAATTCAAGAAAATAGAAAAAAAAACCTATCCAAGCAGATTTGCATAAATTCCATGCTTGAAACAATTTAGTTATTTACATATCAGTAGATATGAGGAATAAATCAATACTTCTTCATTTTCTAAATTAGCTCGTTTTTTTTTAAAAAAATTATTTTAGCTATTCATCAGTTTCATCATTTGACTAAAATTTTATAAATTGAGTAGAATTATATATAACATGTAATAATTGCTTTAACTATTCCTTTATAGTCATAAAATTTTATAAAAACTAAATTTTATTTAGAAACAATCTTATTTTCATCACAATTCTTATAAGCGCTAAATATTTTCATAGGTAATAGAAAAATTTTTCTACTGAATTTTCATTTCATCTAATTTTATTCTAGCATTTGATAATAAATCCATCTTCATTTTCCATAAATTTCTTTCAATTTGTTTGTTAAAACCTAAAAATTATTTGTTTATAGAAAAGGAAAAAAAAAAGTTGTGATTAGCCAGTCGGCTAATTTACTATTCTCCAAAATAACATTTTGTAAATTATTAATATCAAAGTGTATTTATCTATAAATTATTTTTCTAATGTATGTTAATAAATCAAACGTTGCTATGGTGAATGACAATTAATAAATTCAATCATTTTACACAAATAAATTGAATATTTTATGGCTTTATTGATAGTTTTAAAAAATTTCCTTTCGTTTACTTTCATTTTTGCCAGTTCTTTTTCATTTTTGAAATTTTTTTCTCAAAAAAAAAATTGCTAAATTAGCACTGTTAATTATTGGTTTGATGAATAAATGCGTTAACGACTATTTTCGATCTCTTCTCGAGTTGATATATATTTATTGGTTGAAAATTTTGATCAAACAACCAATACGCTGATAAATCATTGATAAGCAATAAAATACATCCATGGATGACAAATGATAAGTTGCATTATAGTTTCGGTTACTATAACTATCGAAGATTTCATATTAACATGCTTTATTCAATAAAACATTTCAAATTATCTTTTTTTCAATTATCTTTTTAATGATTACAACTGAAATAAAAGAAAATTTTGTCACATATAGTGAACAAATGAACAAACAATCAGTTAATGAAACTACTAAGCAAGCAAATAAATGAATAATAACACTGGTACCAGCACTATTTATGGATAAATACTAATATAATTTATGAGCAAGTTAAAAAATATAAATTAAATGTGCAAGAATTAGAAGCTATAAATTAAATTTACAATAATTGAAATTTTGAAAGCTTAAATCTGCTTTATACGTGGAATCGTGCGTCCATATGGATTATTATAGATAAAATCAGTTGATGAGCAAAAAAAAAAGAAATGCTGATAATAATTAAAATTTGCATATGATATAAATAACATTTAAAATTGGAAAAATATTTTCTATTATAATGGACTTGAGTGGTGTGTTTTGTAATTTGCGATAATAATAGCAACAAATTATTCTCTTTTATTTTTATGCTTTATTTATAAAAACATTATTAAACTGTTATTTAAACTATCATTCACATTTTAATCCCATTTTAAAATAAAACATTCAAATTATTAGCTGAAATAAATGATGTCAAATCAGATATTAGATATAGAACTGACTTGTATATTAATTTGGTATAAATTGATATAAAATTAGATATTAAACTGAATTGCATATTAATTTAACTTGCATACTAAACCTGAAGTGAGTTCAAAAAACTGAATACAGAGTCATACTAAATTGTAATTTAATAAAAAGTTGTGCATAATTGAATGCGATTTTCAGTATTCAATTTGATAAGTTCATTTCATATATCAATTTATATTTTCATTAATTTATCTCTTTATTGGCATTAAAGGATTGATTAACTTCCCATATGAATGTCATTAATGTGTTATGAAGACTTTTTAACGTGTGTGTGTAAAAAGTTAATGTGTATGAAGAATATTCCCACGGAGGATTGACATTTAACCTCATTTACCTTAGGTGGGCCAGGTATCACAGATTAAAATCATTAATCACCATTCATACAGGCCTGGAACGTCTGTGTTGCATATCGCGTTGCGGAGTCGCACATAGAGATGATGAGATGACCGATAAGATGATGGGGTGGGTGGAGTCTGTGTGCAGCGGTATTGTCGTCCCTTCCTTTATCCGCCCCTACCATTTCATCCTATTCCTAATCAATGAGGTTAACCGCTGGCTATTTTCATCCACTACAGCTAATTTTCCGTTTCGCTAATGGTAATGAATGACGCATGTATTTTCAGTATTATTTTTTCTCAATTATTTTATGTCACATTTGTGTTGTTTGAATTTTTCCTTTATTTGATTACCAAATTTGCTAATTATTGTAGTTAATTAACATGGCAATTAATTTACTCAAGTCTTGTTATTTTAAAGGGTCAAGTGCATTTGCAAATTTCTCTCTTTTTTTTATTCTGACCGCTAACCCTTTTCATAATGTTATATTTGCTTTTTGAAATTAATTGTACCATTTGTATGATCATTCATATTACTCATATGATATCTCATCCTATTGCAACGAAATATATTTTAAATGTTTAATTTGTCACTTTTTGCAACATCCAATTTATCATATTGGATGAAAAAAATATCAGCAATGCATAGTATTTGAAACATAAAATCTAACCTGAAAATCTTTGATGAAAATTTAAAAAAATGAACGAATTGATATTTGATAGCTCTGTTTAATAATATATTTGAAAAAATATATAATAGAAAGAATAAGAGCAAGAATTGAACCAATAAATAGATTTCTTGCTGAATTGCAATAGGAGAATACCTAACATCTGGCGTCATTATTGGTTTCATGCATCTGTCTATTCGGATATCATCTTTTTGCGGATTATAGCGCAACTTTCAGATGTGCTGAATGAGACATCTTAAATTAAGCAGTTTGTCAGGTGATTCCATTTAATTTAAAGTGGTTAAATTTATTCACAGTTTTTGTTTTGAAATTTCAAAATTAAGTAGGTCTTAAACTGTATGTAATTTTCCTCATATCATACATATTCATAATTAAAAGATTTAAAATGTTCGTTGCTGCTTCACCACATTTACAAATACAATTGAAAATCGCACGCGGATTAAATTATTAATTGAACATTAATAATTTAATAATTCCATCTATTAGATAATTTATAGAAATATACAGCTCAATGTGCTTTGTGCAAAATATTTGAATACATTTGAAAGATTACTTAATATTCTGAATAAAAAAAAACGGAAAAAAGGAAAAGCGCAAACAATTATCATCCATAACATTTCATACGATGAAATTTGAAATCTTGAAATGATTTCTGCTGTACCACTATAATTATCTAAATTAATGAAAAAAGCTTATTACTTCAGGGAAAAATTTAGCCATTAATATTTCTACCTTTTCTTCTTTTGTAATTTACAGAAGAATTGGATTATTAATTAACATTAATTATTACCTTAGATTTTATGCTAATTCATTTTTGCTCACTCATTTTTATCGAAAACAACAAATCTGATAGAAAATTGCCTACTGTTTCATTTTATTTTCATTTTTGTATTAATTCTTTCTAATTTTGTTGAAAATATTTTTTGTTTGCACTTTTTTTTTTACTTTTTTAAAACAAATTGCTAATAGTTTTATCGTTTCAAAATTCATTCATAACAATCAGAAACAAAGGAAAAAAGTGAATGAAAGGGAGAAAGAGAGAAATATAAGTATTACTTTGTTGATGGAATACTGAAAATTTAGGAAAGCTTTAAAAAAGTTTAAAATTGTGTAATATGTGATTAACCTGTCTCCTAACATCATATTATCCTAATATATAATGAAAATAAACGGATGACATATATTTAACGATTTAAATCTTTCTGCATATTTAATGTAAGTAATAATAATAATAATAGTAACCACGATGAACTATATTTCGTTATTGTATTCCAAACTTTTCTTTTTGTAGTTTTTAGCACAATTTTTTTTTTTTGTTTTCATTGTATTTATTTAAACATGATTTACATAATTAAAAAAAAAAAATCTAATGAAAAACTAAAATGGTTTTAACTCATTCAGAAATATTTCAATAATTTATTTGACATTTTCTCATCTTCAATAAATACAAATAGAATATGCTTTTTAAAAGATCATAATTAATTTTAAAAGATAGATAAATGCACTTTAATTATATGTTTCATCCTACTTCGTTAATTTTTTCTCTTGTTTACGGTAAATAAAGTGTAATAAATTTCATTCATTAATTTCTTTCATTTCAACTTATTTTCATTTACA